GGGTGCCCCTTTTTGGGGGGGGAACAAGGGGGCTCTGACCCTCGTCCCCGGGCACCACTTCGAGGAGGAGGGGAGGGTGCAGGGGGGTCTCACACTCGGCTCTGTGTGCCCCTTCGAGGAGGGGGGGGAAAACAAGGGGCTCCGACCCCCGTCCCCGGGCGCCCCTTTGGTGGGGGAGGTTCAGGGGGTCTCTGACCCTTGTCCCTGGGCACCCCTTTGGGGGGGGTTCAGGGGGGCTCTGTCCCTCAGACCCGGGTGCCCCTTTGAAGAGGAGAGGAGGGTGCAGGGGGGTCTGACCCGTCCCCGGACACCCCTTTGAGGCGTGGGGGGAGGCTGCGGGAGTGCAATAGAATTAAAAAAGTCTTAGATCGGCGCCGAGGGCCCAGGTTGGCCAAAAAGAGCTTCCCGGCCTCCCCCAAATCCCAGGGGCCCTTTCCTCCTGCCGGAGGAGGCGGGTAACACCAGCCGGGGTTTGCTCAGCCCTGGCGCTGCCAGCGAGTTATTGAAATAAACCGGGGGTTTTACATTCCTGGCACCAAAAAAAAAAAAAAAAAAAAAAAAAAAAGACTTTTAACCTCTTCGCCGCCGGGGGGGTTGGTTCTTGCCGCCCCGTTGCGGTGCCCGAGAGATGTCCCCGGGCGGTGGTGGTGGTGTCACCGGTGGGGATGCTCTACCTGGGGCTTTTAACTCTCAGCGAAACTCCTTTTTCACAATATGATACCGGGAAACGGAGCCACAAAACTTCCTCCCGGGGATGGGCAGCGGCGCAGCTGCCTCTCCCTGTCGCTCAGAAAAGTGAATTTACTTTGAGCGGCGGCGGTGCCGGGGGGAAGGATCCCCCTTGGTGGCATCTGAGGGCTTTGATGAGGCTCCAGCTGTGATCCCAGGGGTGCTAACCTCCGGTTAGGGATCCCTCTCCCCCTCCATCCCCCCCCAAAATGGTTGGGTGGGATGGGAAATGGGGAGGGGACGGTGGGGCTGTGGGACTCGGGGCAGCGTGGGGAGTCCTGCCACCCACGGCAGGGGCAGGCTGTGGAAGAAAATAAACCTTCCTACGTGTGGAATAGTTTTGGTGGCACGTGGCAGGGGCCAGAAAACAGGGCTGAAGGTGCAAGGTGTCACTAGCCCAGTGGGCTTTAAAACAATGTCCTTTTAACTGCTTGCGTTTTGGGGGTGTTTGGTGCTCAGTCTCTGTATTTCATTGGGGCTTAATTTAAAAAGACATCTGAGAACAGGTTAACGGGATAAACAGTGCCTGCTGCTTTTATTACAAAATAACTTTATTTTAATGCCTTAGTCATACCTTAACATACCACCATGCCATCAGATACATCACAGGTTTTAAGTCTTGCGGCGTGACATTGTCTCCCTTCTAGCCCTTGTGGTTATGGTCTCTTAGCTGAAGTGTCAAAAGTGCCGCCCATACCTTAAAAGTCCAACATAAGTAACTGCCCACCGGTTGAAATGCACTCTCTTTTAGTTTTAGTGAACTGGGTAGAGCAAGTGCTGTTTGTGAGAAGAGTAACAGAGTCCTTTTTTACCCGTAGATAGCCTCTGGGGAAATCCCTTAGTCATGACTTAGGTGAGTAGCAGAGTATTTCAAAAACAGCGTGAGGTATTTGGAAATGGAGTAGAGGTAATAAAGTCTGAAGTTAGGGAAGTGGAGAGCATGAAAAGGCTCAATCGTTCGTCAGTTGCAGGATATTAAGTATACTCATCCTCAGCTCTTGTCTGTCCAGACCCTTAAATGACAGGCACATTTTATATTAGAGCTTATTGCGTGTTAATGCTACCACTTACAGGCTTTACTTAATTATAGAAACATTTACCTTCACATAGAGGGTCCATAACCATATTCTCAAGCGAGGTTATTATTGGTTAACTTGTTGTATTTATACACAGTCCGTTTTATTTGGTAACGACGTAACTATCTGCTCTGATAAACGCACAAAAATGCTAATATTTTTTCAGAACTGCACGGCACGAGTTAAAGATTTTGAACGTGCACTTGTGTAATGGACACAAGCCTCCAGTTCTCTTTATTGTCCCAAACATTGTATTTTAATTTGAAACCTTCATTGGTTGAAAGGTTGCCAAATGTGTAATTCACCACTGATCTAACAGTAAGAGCAGGTCTAAACATGCTCGGTAATACGGAGGTTGCCAGCCCTTTGCTTGTATCTGTGGATACCAAAAACAGCAGAACCAGTTCAGAATACTAGAACAACAGAATGCAGAACAAAATCTTGTTGTGCAAGTTTTAAAACTTTTATCTGTGTAACCTTTGTAAGGATTGTAGTGGGGTGGTTTTTTTTGTTGTTTTGTTTCTTTTTTTTTTTTTTTGGCTTTGTAATTCAGGAGCTGGAGCCCTCACGTCCCGCTCTTGTGTCTCTCGCTGTGTTTCCCTCTGCAGTATATACAGTAGCGATGAGGATGAAGAAGATGTTGAGATGTATGATCACGATTATGATGGCCTGCTACCCAAGACTGGAAAACGTCACTTAGGGAAAACCAGGTGGACCCGCGAGGAGGTAAATCCAAGTTCATCCCTCTCCTGCCTGTAGAAAGATGGAGAGAATATGGACCACGTTCTTCTCCATGTTGCTTAACTGCAAACTGACTTCAGTGACAATCCCATGTGTATGAATGAGGACAAAGTTTTTCACCCCTTAGCTACACCCAGTGTTTTGTTTAACTTTGAGGACCGTTCTTCTCTTTTAAATAAAATGTACAAGTGCCCTTTTATTTTTTTTTTTCCCTTTTTAGTGCCCGCCAAGGTGTATACCTTACAGGTGTGTGACTCTCCCTGTCATCCCTGGTGGAAAAAAACAGATTAAGAGTCACCTGCAGCAATGCTTGGTGGTTCCTGCTGCCTCTTTGTGTTTGAGAAGGGTTGCTATGCCAGAGCTGACGTGTGGTCAGTGTCCCACAGCAGCAAACAACTGTGGCCGAAACTGCTGCCCTCCTTTTGTGCCACTTGAAATTTGGCACTTTAATGGCAACGTCACGGTTCAGGCTGGAAATAAATAAAAAGCCAGAAGCAAGCAAGCCAGCAGTACCAAAAATTGAGCATTCAGAGATGTGGTTTTTGGTTCTGAAGGTCAAAATGCCTTCTAGTCACGGGCACCCTTGTGCTGACTTTTTTCCGGGTAAATTGTGGAATCAGACTCCTTTGCCAGCTGGATATCCTGTGGCCATTTAACTGGTTTGAGTTTATTGTGAAATAACACATTAACGCCGTTCTTAAGCTGTGTTTTGACTTTCTCCTCTCTAACAATGTGTATTGATACACAAACAATGACAGCTCACCTCATGCAAGCATTTTCTTTTTTTTTTATTTTTTTTTTTAAATCATCATCAGCTCTTAGAGAGGCGGATGTCTTTGTGACACGGGGTGGCTGTGGTGCCCAGTGGCCACTTCCCTGACACGTGAACTAACTGGGAGTGTACTGGGAGGCTCTTGAGAGGTTGCTCCCCTCCTCTTATCTCTTGGGGCAGTTCTCGCTAGTCTTGCACTCCTTACATCTTTCCCAGTACACCCCATTGGTTCCTTTTGCCTTTAGAGCCTATATTTCTGGCCTTATCCTTAAAAATACTGGGCCAAATTTCTTGCTGTTGGGAGTACTCAAGACTCCCTCCCAGTGACCAGGAGCCATTAGATTTATTGTGTGTTTGTTGTACATGGATAGGCAATGAGCAGATTACTGGAACTCCCATTACTCACAAGACATATAAAGCTTAAGGCTGTGATTTTCGGAGGCCCCGAGACAGCCGGGTGCTTGAGAGTTGCCAAATTTCATTGTTACTCTGGTGGTGGCATCTAAACCTCCGTGCCTTCCTCTAAATCCAGCGCAAGAATAACGGTTACGTTGCTTTGAGGAGTAAAATGGGGATATATAATGCAAGTTAAAGAACAGCACAGAAGAAAAATCAGTGTCTTCCCTGCAGCACAGTAGAGAACCTCCCAAAATCCACAGGAGTAGAGAAATCTCATTATTTGGGCAATTAAAAATATGAGAAGACTACAGACCACCTCCCCTTACACTCAGGATGCAGAAATGTGTGTATAAAAAGCTAAAAGGAGGCATTTTCTCTTGACTGTATTTAATTTGCATTATAAGAGATTACAATACTAATTATTTCTGGTTTTTTTTTAATGATTCAGGATGAGAAACTGAAGAAGCTCGTGGAGCAGAATGGCACAGAAGACTGGAAAGTCATTGCCAATTTCCTTCCCGTAAGTGGATATTGGATTCTGTTTCCAGTTCTAGTGACAACTCTTTTATCAGAGGTTTCCCACTAAGGGAAAGGGGAGTGGTTGCTTTATAGTTACATTTTGGCAGGAGATACAAAACCTCCCCAGATGGAGACCTCAGAAACTTAGTTAAAATGTTGTGGAAGCCCTTAACCTTCCTTTTCCTTTAATTTCTCAGAAAGGGTTGGGAAAATTCAAGCGATCAAAACCGGGGGTTGGAGGGGTGTTGCACAGTAGGTGGTCAACGTGACGTTGAAACACAATGTCTCAGCAGAGAGGAAAAAACAGCTTTGATGAACTGTAAGTGCAGTTTAGAAGATAATAGTTTTGTGAAGACTTTGGCTGGTGCAGAAATACGGCACGTGAAAGCACGACAGCGACTGTGCCAGAGGGTGAAGATTGAGGTTGGGTGGTTTTGGTGATGGGATCATCATCGACTGGTTCAGGGAGCAAAGTGGTAGTCCAGCACCTTCTTCTCAGACACTCCATATATGATTATGTATGGGGCACTCCATATATTTTACTAGTGGTAGCTGAAATGCATCGGGAAGAAGCGTGCCTAGATAAGAGCGTTATCACTCCACGTTCATTTTGGCTAAAGAATGATCTCTTTTGCATGTTTTACATTTCACTAGAATCGGACGGATGTTCAGTGCCAGCACCGATGGCAGAAGGTACTAAACCCAGAACTTATCAAAGGTCCGTGGACGAAAGAGGAGGATCAAAGGGTAATCAATTTTCCTTTCATTCCGCTTAATGCTGATTTTATATGTGGGGGCAAAACTCCTTGAGACTATGGTGGTCTCAACCAGAGAGACCACCAGATATCTCTCTTAATATGACCAGAAGCAGATTGATCCTATGCTTTCAATGCTTAGTATTTGTCTAGTTTTCTACACAAATTCATTAATGTTCCTTTAGAGAATCACGTGGGGTTGGAAGGGACCTCTGGAGATCGTCTAGTCCAACCCCCCTGCCAAAGCAGGTCCACCCAGAGCAGGTTGTTGACTGGTTCAGGGAGCAAAGTGGTAGTGGAGCACCTTCTTCTCAGACACTCCGTATATGATTATGTATGGGGCACTCCATATATTTTACTAGTGGTAGCTGAAATGCATCGGGAAGAAGCGTGCCTAGATAAGAGCGTTATCACTCCACGTTCATTTTGGCTAAAGAATGATCTCTTTTGCATGTTTTACATTTCACTAGAATCGGACGGATGTTCAGTGCCAGCACCGATGGCAGAAGGTACTAAACCCAGAACTTATCAAAGGTCCGTGGACGAAAGAGGAGGATCAAAGGGTAATCAATTTTCCTTTCATTCCGCTTAATGCTGATTTTATATGTGGGGGCAAAACTCCTTGAGACTATGGTGGTCTCAACCAGAGAGACCACCAGATATCTCTCTTAATATGACCAGAAGCAGATTGATCCTATGCTTTCAATGCTTAGTATTTGTCTAGTTTTCTACACAAATTCATTAATGTTCCTTTAGAGAATCACGTGGGGTTGGAAGGGACCTCTGGAGATCGTCTAGTCCAACCCCCCTGCCAAAGCAGGTCCACCCAGAGCAGGTTGCACAGGAACGTGTCCAGGTGGGTTTGGAATGTCTCCAGTGAAGGAGACTCCACCACCTCCCTGGGCAGCCTCTTCCAGGGCTCTGCCACCCTCAAAGTCAAGAAGTTCCTCCTCATCTTTAGGTGGAACTTCTTATGTTCAAGTTTGTGCCCGTTCCCTCTTGTCCTGTCACTGGGCACCACTGAAAAAAGACCAGCCCCATCCTCCTGACACCCACCCTTTCAGTATTTATAGGCGTTGATCAGATCCCACTGCCTCAGCCTTCTCCAGACTAAAATGTCCCAAGTCCTACTGTTCCTTTACAGCACTGTCATGTAGAAATGTGGTCTAGAAATGTCTTATTTATTACTGGATTTTCCCTTGGGGGTAAAAGTATAAGTGGGATGTGGGGAGCCTTAATTGTGTGTTAATTTTACCGTGGCGATTTTGAGAAATGTCGTTGAAAATGTTGTTCCACCACAGAAAAATTTCATTGCTTCGTTATGCATCGTTAAATACAGGCAGTTTTTGTGTCCTTCTTTGAAGGTAATAGAACTCGTGCAGAAATACGGTCCAAAGCGCTGGTCTGTCATTGCTAAGCATTTGAAGGGAAGGATTGGAAAGCAGTGCAGGGAGAGGTGGCACAACCATTTGAATCCAGAAGTGAAGAAAACCTCCTGGACAGAAGAGGAAGATAGAATTATTTACCAGGCACACAAGAGGCTGGGAAACAGATGGGCAGAAATTGCCAAGTTGCTGCCTGGACGGTAATGACATCTACCTTTAGCTCTTAAATAGGAAAAAAGAAAAAAAAAGGGAAAAGCTGCAGGTCTGAGCGGTTTGTTTCGGTTGCCTCAGGCTGCACATTATAAATCAAAAAAATTTGGGATCAAAACCTGGAAAGCCAGTGACATTAGACGTGCGTTTTTCTCAGCGGGGAACTGTTCTGTTTGGTCAGTAGATGGAACAGTGCTCTATTTTTACGTGCTTCTGATGTTTGCCATAGGTATAAAACCCCAGTAAGTAGAGCAAGACCTTAACAGTTTCCTAAAGGTCCGTGCAATCTTATTTGTGCTTGCAATAACTGTCAAAATTCAAATTGATTTAATAGTGAGGGATCAGGCTCTGCAAGTGGAACTTAATTTACGTTCAGCTAAGGGTATGCCTTTAACACGAAATACAGTCTGTTTATTCAAAATGATTTAAGGGAAGGCTCCTTCAACGTTTTTAATTGCTCCTGAATCACCCAGATGATTTTGACCTGTTGAAAATCCATGTATAAACCAGGAGAAACTGAATTCCTCAAACTCTGGTCCTGGAAATACTTGTCTCATCAAAGGCTTATGCAGAACTTGCATCCCATTTCAGAGACCGGGTGTCTGTAGTAAAAGTGACTCACCATGAAGTGGAGTCAAGCAAATAATGCAAGCGAGGGGAGAGCTTTCCCTTCCCATTTTTATTCCTGCTATTTGGGGAAACATCTTCAAGATCTAAATATAACGCCTAAGATCATGATGGCCCTTTAAAGCGGGCATTCCCTAGGCTGCTTTTCTGTAATTTTCTACGGAATTACTCCTCAGAAAGTGATTTTTTTTGTAGCTTCCACACATCACAGATACCGCTTTCAACCGTACGCTGTGTTGGTGATGTTTTTCAAAAAGAGGAGCTGTTCCTGAGCGTACCCTTAAAATCTTGCAGACTGGAGAAATTTGGTTTTTTTTCTGGCTCGTGAATGCGAGAATTTGATTCTCAATTTTTACTGCAGCGAATTAAAATCCCGACAGCTTTGTTTCCTGAATTCGTGTGTACGGCACGATGGTGTCACTGTCTGGGTGGCCAGTTGGAGAGCTGCTTGGATGTTAGTCCTTGGACATTAGCCTTCTCCTGGCTGTTATCCACGGTCTTTCTTTGCACCAACGAGGTACAATAAACTCCCAGTGCAATATTAAGGAAGATGATGTGGGCAGCCCTTTAGGGAAGCCTCAAAAGGTGACTTTGCTTGTCACCTCACTCTGTGGGAACGAGGTGAAGCTGAAATTATTAATTTCTCACAGTTTGAGGACCTAAAGACTTAGAGATCGCTTCAAAAAGTACACAAACAACCGTAGCCCTTTTCTTTGTTTTCCCTCTACGTTTTATACCGAGCATCTTTCCTGAGAAGTTGAGAGCGGCGTTTGTAAAGCATTTTGGGGGCAGGAGGAAGGTCACAAGGCTTAAAACAGAGAAGCCAACAGCAGTTTCCTGCCCGTTTATCTCGGCCTGAATTGGAAACGCTGGTGTTTAAAACTCCAAACCCTCCGTGTTTGTGTTGCAGAACCGATAATGCTATCAAGAACCACTGGAATTCCACCATGCGCCGGAAGGTCGAGCAGGAGGGCTACCTGCAGGAGTCCTCCAAAGCCTGTCACACCTCAGCAGCCCCTGGCTTTCAGAAGAGCAACCACTTGATGGCTTTTTCTCACAACCCACCTTCTGCACAGCTGCCAGTAGCCGGCCAGCCCCCGCTGAGCAGTGACTACCCCTACTACCACATCTCCGAGCCACAAAACGTAAGCTCCTGAAAACTTTTTAGGGGTTTTTTTGGGGGGGTTGATTTGGCCATGCCTGATTTCAGGAAGTGTGATTTCTCCCCGTCTTGGTGGAGCCGTGTGGGTTTGATGCCAGGCGAGGACCACCTTGACGTTGACCTTGACTTTGACTTCAGTCAGTGATGGAAATTCATACATTTCAAACTAGGTGGTAGAATCAGGGTTTTTAACATCTTGTGAGCAGTGACCATGTTCCCAGTTCGGTTTCTTCTAGTGGTGGATATTACACTTGTTGAAAAGCAGTCGAACCAGGTTAATTCTGTGTTCTCTGTCAAAATCTCCCACGTTCCCCCCAGTAATATTCTGTTTGTGGGTTGCCTGTCAGGACAAGTAAACAAGTATTGTTTTTAATCTGATTCCTCTTCAATTAATGATTAATAATGAAACAGGCTGCTGCTTCAGACAGTTACATTGTGGAGTTTTACACGATAATAAATTGCATCTTTTGCACTTTCAATTTAGGAAAAAAACTTACAAATGCATCTATAAATTATTCATCTTTTCTCGTTCAGGAAGGGTAGATATTTCATATATGTATTTTCTTTCTTCCTCTGTAATGCTCACTGTCAGATTCCTAAAAAAACACTTACTTTTCTTGTAAATATTGTAAATATGTCATCTCCAGAGAGTATAAATATTAAGTACCTAAAACCAAACACAGATTCGCCACGCAGGCAGGCGATGCGATAGAAATAATAACTCGTAGTGTCTTTTGCCTTTTTTTTTTTTTGGCCTAGGTCCCTGGTCAGATCCCATATCCAGTAGCACTGCATGTAAATATTGTCAATGTTCCTCAGCCGGCCGCGGCAGCTATCCAGGTAGATAACTTGCGCGTCGTTTCAGGGGTCAATCCGTTAAACGTTTGCCCAGTCAAAATGCTGACGTTGTACCTTAAGGCAACGTTGTAGTGTAAAAAAGTGTGAAGAGAGAAAATGGGGAAGGTGGGGGAGTCCTAACGTGGCTTAATTGAGGGCTGCTGCTTCTGAAGCGGATTTAAAAGAGGGTAGTTGACAGCTGGTGTGATAGTTTTCACTTTCTCCATTTCAAATGTCTGTACTGAAATTCAGCAGGGACTTTGGTAGTGGAAAACAACAATTGACGTTTGTTTCATCTTTGGGTCTAATTTGGCTGTTATAACCACAGGACGGCAAGCCATAAGCATTTTAGTTGCTACATCCTATCAGACCTTTATCTTTTCTTTTCCCTTAACTCTTAATTTCAGAGACACTATAATGATGAAGACCCTGAGAAAGAAAAACGAATAAAGGAATTAGAGTTGCTACTAATGTCGACTGAGAATGAACTGAAAGGGCAGCAGGCATTACCAGTAAGATTGTCACTGTGTGCTTGGATGGAGGGATAGCAGCCTTACCCCAGTGCTTGTCTTTTTAACTTTTTTACTCCCCCTCTGCCTTCCGTACTAATCAAGGCTCTATATTTCCATTTGAAAAGGATGAAACATAGCACATATATAGTCTGTATTTGCTTTGTATATTCTTTTATTGAAAAAACAAACAACAAACAATTTGCAGGTGTTTGGAGCAGGGCTGGGCTCCGTAAAGTGATGTGATATTTGAACCGTGATGATTGAACAAAAATGAGAAATCCCACGGATCTTATATCAATGGGATCTGCATTTCCGAAAGTGTGCAATGGTTCATGTGATGAAAATGTAGTGCCTGTGCGGAAGCCAACAGCAGTTTCCTGCCCGTTTATCTCGGCCTGAATTGGAAACGCTGGTGTTTAAAACTCCAAACCCTCCGTGTTTGTGTTGCAGAACCGATAATGCTATCAAGAACCACTGGAATTCCACCATGCGCCGGAAGGTCGAGCAGGAGGGCTACCTGCAGGAGTCCTCCAAAGCCTGTCACACCTCAGCAGCCCCTGGCTTTCAGAAGAGCAACCACTTGATGGCTTTTTCTCACAACCCACCTTCTGCACAGCTGCCAGTAGCCGGCCAGCCCCCGCTGAGCAGTGACTACCCCTACTACCACATCTCCGAGCCACAAAACGTAAGCTCCTGAAAACTTTTTAGGGTTTTTTTTTGGGGGGGTTGATTTGGCCATGCCTGATTTCAGGAAGTGTGATTTCTCCCCGTCTTGGTGGAGCCGTGTGGGTTTGATGCCAGGCGAGGACCACCTTGACGTTGACCTTGACTTTGACTTCAGTCAGTGATGGAAATTCATACATTTCAAACTAGGTGGTAGAATCAGGGTTTTTAACATCTTGTGAGCAGTGACCATGTTCCCAGTTCGGTTTCTTCTAGTGGTGGATATTACACTTGTTGAAAAGCAGTCGAACCAGGTTAATTCTGTGTTCTCTGTCAAAATCTTCCACGTTCCCCCCAGTAATATTCTGTTTGTGGGTTGCCTGTCAGGACAAGTAAACAAGTATTGTTTTTAATCTGATTCCTCTTCAATTAATGATTAATAATGAAACAGGCTGCTGCTTCAGACAGTTACATTGTGGAGTTTTACACGATAATAAATTGCATCTTTTGCACTTTCAATTTAGGAAAAATACTTACAAATGCATCTATAAATTATTCATCTTTTCTCGTTCAGGAAGGGTAGATATTTCATATATGTATTTTCTTTCTTCCTCTGTAATGCTCACTGTCAGATTCCTAAAAAAACACTTACTTTTCTTGTAAATATTGTAAATATGTCATCTCCAGAGAGTATAAATATTAAGTACCTAAAACCAAACACAGATTCGCCACGCAGGCAGGCGATGCGATAGAAATAATAACTCGTAGTGTCTTTTGCCTTTTTTTTTTTTTGGCCTAGGTCCCTGGTCAGATCCCATATCCAGTAGCACTGCATGTAAATATTGTCAATGTTCCTCAGCCGGCCGCGGCAGCTATCCAGGTAGATAACTTGCGCGTCGTTTCAGGGGTCAATCCGTTAAACGTTTGCCCAGTCAAAATGCTGACGTTGTACCTTAAGGCAACGTTGTAGTGTAAAAAAGTGTGAAGAGAGAAAATGGGGAAGGTGGGGGAGTCCTAACGTGGCTTAATTGAGGGCTGCTGCTTCTGAAGCGGATTTAAAAGAGGGTAGTTGACAGCTGGTGTGATAGTTTTCACTTTCTCCATTTCAAATGTCTGTACTGAAATTCAGCAGGGACTTTGGTAGTGGAAAACAACAATTGACGTTTGTTTCATCTTTGGGTCTAATTTGGCTGTTATAACCACAGGACGGCAAGCCATAAGCATTTTAGTTGCTACATCCTATCAGACCTTTATCTTTTCTTTTCCCTTAACTCTTAATTTCAGAGACACTATAATGATGAAGACCCTGAGAAAGAAAAACGAATAAAGGAATTAGAGTTGCTACTAATGTCGACTGAGAATGAACTGAAAGGGCAGCAGGCATTACCAGTAAGATTGTCACTGTGTGCTTGGATGGAGGGATAGCAGCCTTACCCCAGTGCTTGTCTTTTTAACTTTTTTACTCCCCCTCTGCCTTCCGTACTAATCAAGGCTCTATATTTCCATTTGAAAAGGATGAAACATAGCACATATATAGTCTGTATTTGCTTTGTATATTCTTTTATTGAAAAAACAAACAACAAACAATTTGCAGGTGTTTGGAGCAGGGCTGGGCTCCGTAAAGTGATGTGATATTTGAACCGTGATGATTGAACAAAAATGAGAAATCCCACGGATCTTATATCAATGGGATCTGCATTTCCGAAAGTGTGCAATGGTTCATGTGATGAAAATGTAGTGCCTGTGCGGTAGATGTTTTTTTTCTCCTCTGTTGCATTCTTTCCTTTAGTTGACAGCTGGTGTGATAGTTTTCACTTTCTCCATTTCAAATGTCTGTACTGAAATTCAGCAGGGACTTTGGTAGTGGAAAACAACAATTGGCGTTTGTTTCATCTTTGGGTCTAATTTGGCTGTTATAACCACAGGACGGCAAGCCATAAGCATTTTAGTTGCTACATCCTATCAGACCTTTATCTTTTCTTTTCCCTTAACTCTTAATTTCAGAGACACTATAATGATGAAGACCCTGAGAAAGAAAAACGAATAAAGGAATTAGAGTTGCTACTAATGTCGACTGAGAATGAACTGAAAGGGCAGCAGGCATTACCAGTAAGATTGTCACTGTGTGCTTGGATGGAGGGATAGCAGCCTTACCCCAGTGCTTGTCTTTTTAACTTTTTTACTCCCCCTCTGCCTTCCGTACTAATCAAGGCTCTATATTTCCATTTGAAAAGGATGAAACATAGCACATATATAGTCTGTATTTGCTTTGTATATTCTTTTATTGAAAAAACAAACAACAAACAATTTGCAGGTGTTTGGAGCAGGGCTGGGCTCCGTAAAGTGATGTGATATTTGAACCGTGATGATTGAACAAAAATGAGAAATCCCACGGATCTTATATCAATGGGATCTGCATTTCCGAAAGTGTGCAATGGTTCATGTGATGAAAATGTAGTGCCTGTGCGGTAGATGTTTTTTTTCTCCTCTGTTGCATTCTTTCCTTCAGCTGTGTTTTATACCCTTCGTAAGCTTCAGACTTGGTGCATGTTTGACAGTTTGTTTTACTTCTCTGAATAATGTTAGATTCTTCATAACTGCATGTGTGGAACAAATGCTGGCTATTACTGTATTCTCACGCTTGGTTGTATACGCCATTGGATGTTAATGTGTGAAAACCTCTATGTAATTATTTAACACCATCACCAAAGCCAAGAGTCCCCAAATCATTTTTGAAGATAGGTGATAGCCAGCAGATTCTTTTTTTTTTTTTTTTTTTTGGGTAATATATAAATTAATAGTAAAACAACTGCATGCGTGATACGTTAGTTTGGCCACTTTTTAACTTTAGTTCATGTTTTGCAATTTCTTCTGTTGCATGATCACACTGGAAAGAAACTTCTGTTAATTTGTTCTTCTGCTTTCCTAACCACGTTGATTTGACAGCCTCTTCATTGCATTGGTGTAAGCTGTAGCGTTAGACAGGGATAGAAGAAGAGAAGGAGATAAGCAAACAAAAGCAACTCTAACTCTTAAACCCTTCAGCCTCCTACAGTGCTGAGCGCTCAGTAGGGAAATCCTGCCGTTTCTCGCTTCTCACAGAAAACGACTTGCAGACACTCTTTTGAGCTTTTGGAGTAACCCAGTATGAATTGATTACGTGTTAGTAATGATATACGCTCGTAATCCTTGAAGTAAATTGTGAGGTAACTTTGGGATAACAAATACAACGCCGATATTACTTAAAACCAGATCTTGCACTGATGAAAGGAAACATCTTGACAATTGTTTCATAGGCATAAGCTTTTAGATGATGATGCAACTACTTTTATCTTTCCTCCAGTGGTATCTGACAACTTGTGCAATTGCATTGCTAAGTTCCTTCTGCCTTCTTCCCCCCCCCCTCCTTTTCTTTTTTTTTTTTTTTTCTTCTTCTTCCTTTAGACACAGAACCACACATCAAACTACCCCGGCTGGCACAGCACCACGGTGGCTGACGGTACCAGGACCAGTGGTGACAGTGCCCCCGTTTCCTGTTTGGGGGAACACCACCACTGTACTCCATCTCCACCGGTGGATCACGGTTGCTTACCCGAGGAAAGTGCATCCCCTGCCCGGTGCATGATTGTTCACCAGAGCAACATCCTGGATAATGTTAAGAATCTCTTAGAATTTGCAGAAACACTCCAGTTAATAGACTCCGTAAGTAGACTTTCCCACCTCAGGTGGATTTGTGTGTGGTCAAGGAGGAAGGGGAGAGGAACTGGGACAGTCCTAAATGTGTTTCTTTTTTCTTATGATTTTATTTTTTTTTCCCGAGTTAACTTCTAATTGCTGCAAGATCCGAAGCTTAGCTTCTGACTTAACAAAACGTGGCTGCTCATAAATGAAGCCCTGGAGTGTGGATGCGTATGCTTTTTGTGGGTGTCTCCCTTTCCTGCTACGTCTTGGTATGGGAGTGTGATTTTTAGCAAACTGCACAGTAGGAGCTTGAAACGGTCTCTCGGTATTAAGTCTCCTTAAAATAAGATGGGAGAGACATCGCGAAACATTTTAAACGATGACATGATATTTATATTTGAAGTGGCACATGCCGTAGGTTTATGTCTGGCTGCTCGTCTATCTGCATCTTTTTCTAAAAGTTTTTCATGTAGCTTCAGTAGCTGCTTCTCAAAGTGTAAGGAGCTTGGCCTGGTGCCCGTGAAGAACTGGAAACATGAATTTTAAATGCCAGGTAGCTGACTGGCATCGACACGGGCCTCCTCTCTTTGTGGTCTCCGGGATACTACACGTAACAGCAGCGGCACGTTGAAATATGTTTGTTGGTGGCCCCTTCCTTCAGCAGCAGAGGTGTCTGCTTCATGAAGCATCACATCCCGTTCAGCACGTCCAGAGCAGGCACGCAGGTTGGGAGGAGACCAGTTTTGGCTGAGAGCCCAAAGCACACATTTTTTGGGTAGTGAAAGGCACTGACTTCATACCAAACAGAAAACCCTGGGCAAGTAGAGATAGGATGCCCCATCCCTGGAGCGGTTCAAGGCCAGGCTGGATGGGGCTTTGAGCAACCTGGTCTGGTGGGAGGTGTCCCTGCCCACGGCAGGGGGTTGGAACTCCATGATCGTTAAGGTCCCTTCCAACCCAAACCATTCTATAGTAAGGACATCATTTGAGTCATTGTTTCTTAAGGGGCTCAGTTGCCAAGAACGTTACTAGGATGTTAGTTCGATGTGGTCAAGGTATATATTGAAAACACAAATAAGCCTTCACAGTGTTGCCACTCAAATAAAGCTGAATTGAACTGGGAAAGACTTCGTGGTCGTTGGTTATGGGCATATCCTAGCGCTGTGTTTTCATGAGGTGGCACTATGCACTTACAGCTCCGTGCCTCCCACGTTGTTTCAGGATCCTTCATCATGGGGTGATCTCAGCAGTTTTGAATTCTTTGAAGACACAGACACTCCAGCTAGCAAAGCTCCCTCAGGCAAAGCGGCGCAGCTTCAGCAAAGAGGGGCCAGTGCTTGTAGAGCTCAAGGACGTCCCACCACAAACTTGAGCAAAACCATGTCGAGTCAGGGCCCTCCTGGCTCACCAAAGTCCTTGTCTGCCTCACAGGGCAGTGCGGCTCCATGGGTCCTTCTTCGCCAAAGGAGAGGGCACTCCAGCCCCTTAGCCAGTGGCCACGGTGGCACCTTGGGCCTAGGTGACGCCAGCAGCTCAACTCTTCCTAAGAGCTCCCCTGTCAAAAGCCTGCCCTTCTCTCCCTCGCAGGTAGATCAAGACTTCTGCACAGATGTTACTAATTCTCAAAAGCCACCCCAGCCTTAACAATTTAGAAACTAATCCTTTGGAACAAATGACTAATTACCGTTGCGCTTGTTGATTTCACTCCGTGTTTGAATCTTCTCACTGCTCTTAGTCTTCACTGCTGAGTTTAGATTATCAGCCAGCTAACTGTTGATTCTCTTCTTTTAAATTCATCTGTGGGGCTTGGTTGGTTTGGTTGTGTTTTTTTTGATTTGGATCATTTTTGCAGGGGAATATGGTTGCTTGCTTTGCTCTTGCTGTTAACTCCTTCAACTACTAGAGCTTAACATTTCTGATCATTTGTAATACTTTCCATCTCTGTCCACTCACAGTATGATTCATTGACCTAGAAAACCCCAAACTGCATTTAAATAGCATTCAGGTTGTGAGACAAAGTGACAACAACCAGCAAATTCAAATCATGGCTTGTCCATCCTCCACTTGGGCCACGCTGGGGTGGAGTGGAATAGGAATGAGGAGGAAAATGGCCTGTTGAAGTGTCCTGGTGTCCACTTGCAAATTCCTGACGTTGGTTGCTTTTGTTTCACAGCTGTAGCACTATTTAAAGGTGTTTTGGTTTTGGTTTGTTTTTTTTTTTGTGTGTGTGTGTTTTTCAGTTTGTCTTGGTTTTGCCTTGGTTTGGCTTTAGTCCTTGAAGTCAGAGAAACACTGTTTCATGAAGGATAGTAAAAGATTGCATGCAATGATCTCCCGCTGTATCTTCCATTACCTGTTAGGTATTTTAATTATGTATCATTTATCCAGTGAAATCTTTATTTTCTTAATGCCACTTTTTTATAAAATCTATTTTAATTCCATGCAAGTTGAGTCTAGAAGGTAATACGGTGAATCATTGCCAGAATAAAGGATACTGCTACGCTCAGAGATTTGCAGACACTAGGAACGGAAACAATATTTTAGGTTACTAGGCAGAACTCATGCAAAAGCAATTTTCTCCAGACCAATATCACCACCTCCTTTTCGGTCAGCTGTTTCCATCCCAAAACACTCCACGCGCCCATCACAGGTGGTGGTTTTCATTTTATACTGTGAAAAGGGAGCACTTTGTTTTGAGAGTGATGATGGGAAATTTATTTTCCTGTCATAAACACTTTATTTACTGCCTTAAAAGCACCTAGATTCCCTCTATAAATCTTCGTGGAGTTTAGCCCCATTTCCTGTGGGTTTAGTCCTGAAACATCCCTTACTCATTTTCACCCAGTTCTTCCTTGGGCACACTGCTCTTAATAGGAATTACAGTTTATTTGCAGAAAATCCAAATTGGGCTTTTGAGATTTGGCTCTTAAAAGGGTGGAGAGTGTTTCTCACTGGAGCAGAGCGTCATTTTCTTTATAGCTTCCCTCTCTAGGAATGCTGGGTTTAGCTTTCTGAGTGCTCCAGCCAAACTTTGCCGCGTAGTCAGATCCCCCACATCCACCTCCCCCCAGCGTAGGGTCAGGAGAATCACTTGGAAGGAAACAATTTCTTTTTCTTTTGTTCAATAACATCAACTTAAGAGGTCAGCCTTGTAACCTGGATGTTCCTGTTGATTTTTCCTTCCCCAACCTGCAGTTCTTAAACACCTCGTCCAGCCACGAAAACCTGAACCTGGACAACCCCTCGCTCACTTCCACGCCGGTGTGTGGCCATAAGATGGCTGTCACCACGCCGTTCCACAGGGACCAGGCTTTCAAAGCTCAGAAGGAAAACCACGTGTAAGTCTTGCGATCAACGTTGTCTTTTCGAATTCCCCAGGGTTTGTAACCAAAGTGCTGGGTCACTGCATGCTTCCTGCACGGCTGTTTGCTAACAAACACCTTCAGAATTTTCTTAGTTTGGAGTAATGAACTTCCACTTCGTAATGTTCATTAATACAGAACGACCAGGCATACAGTCTCGCCAGTTTTTTAAATAAAGCCATTCCTCCTTTTGATGGAGGAATAGATGTTCTCCCAGAAAAGCAAAATGGATGCGAGGATTGCAAAGAAAATGTTTGTCCGCGTCTTACAGCAAGCCATTGCCTGTGTGCACGTATTTCTGTGAAGAGGCAATATTTCCAAGCGTGTTCCTTTAAAGTTTTTTCCCTCTTTTTAAAGTTTCAGAACTCCAGCAATCAAGAGGTCGATATTAGAGAGCTCTCCAAGAACACCCACTCCATTCAAAAACGCACTTGCAGCTCAGGAAATCAAATATGGCCCTTTGAAGATGCTGGTAAGAAGGAAACAATGATAAAAGTTGCTTTGATATTAGTGCAGAGGGATGTTCTGGGACTTGGATATAACGTTTCTTCCTTTCAGCCTCAAACTCCGACTCATCTTGTAGAAGATCTGCAGGACGTTATCAAGCAGGAGTCGGAGGAATCTGCAATAGTGGCTGGGCTACATGAAAGTGGACCCCCTTTGCTGAAGAAAATCAAACAAGAGGTAAATCTCAAACTTACCTGAGGCAATTTAATTCAGCGGCTCTTTGCCGAGAAACTTATACCAATACGTTTTCTGTTAAATAGCTGTGTCTGTTTTTCTTTCATGTGAGCCCCAAGATCTTAGTGTCGGTTCTATATAGTGTACTAGGCATGCCTAATTCGTCTCCCATTGATTTCCATAGAAGTCTTTCTGCTGTTTTCAGCAGGGGTTTGCTTGGGCCGTTCTAATGCACTTTTCGTTTGAAACTTAAAAAGAAAAAAAAAAAAAAATTAGACAGGAATTTGGATTGAATCTTTCTAATATTGGTGAAAAGTATAGAAGAACCCCACGGGGACCAAGCTCCATGGAGTGACTTAGAAACCTGAACATTTGAGGACATTGCATTATATTACTTTGTCACTAAAGTTCTAAAAATACATATATTCTCAATCCTTTCTAGGGGATTAAACTTCTGAATACTGACAGGGCGCTGAGTGCAAGTATTCAAAGTTTTATTAGGTGGGGACTTTTTTGAGAACCTTGAACTTTTTTCTTCTGGAAAGAGCAAGGGTGCTGTAAAAGACACTGCTGTCAAGACGCATTATGCAGGGCCGTGAAGAATATTTATTCAATTTATTAAGCAACTGAGAGGTAAATCTCTTTCTGGTCAGTTGGGTATTGTTTTTTATCACGGTGCCTTTCCTGCTTTCAGGTGGAGTCTCCAACAGATAAAGCTGGCAATTTTTTCTGCTCAAATCACTGGGAAGGAGAAAACCTGAACACTCAGCTCTTTACGCACGGGTCTACTATGGAAGATGTGCCAGTAAGTGCAAGTTTTCACACCATGGCATGATTTCTCTGTTTTACATCCCTGCTCAGTTCTTAAAGGCAAGAGAGAAAATAGTCTGTCTGACCTTCCTCGCGAGTAGGCATTGTTCATTATTTCTGTATTGCTTCCCTGTATTAAGCATAAGAAGCAAAATCCTGCTCCTAATTAGATGACTGTGATGCCTACAGAAGGTGGCAGAAGCTGCAGTCGTTGTGCAGCCCACAGTCTTTGCAAAGAGCCTGCGCTCGGAGGAGGCCTGCACCTGCGTATAGAAATGACTATGTCGGGGAGATAAAACTGGTGAAAAGAAAGAGAGAGTCTGTTTTGGTTTGTGCAGAGGAGCCTTTGCATGAGCCCCTCGTCGGGGCTGCTCGGTGTTGCTGTTCTTCTTGCCCTTGGGAGTTTCACTGGGTGAAAAACCTTCGCACGTGGCGATGCTCCTGCAGAGCCACGTCCCAGGGAGCCCAGGCTGAGGTCTGCTCCCAGCCCCTGGGACCCTGCCCAGTGTTGCACCCTCTGCAGTCAGGCTGAGTTTGCTTTGAATACCTTCAAATTTCTATTGAGTTACTCAAAATTGCTTGGTTTGTTTTTTTTTTCCTTTTCTTTTTCTTCAGAATCTTCTTACCAGCTCCATTTTAAAGATGCCCGTGTCTGAAGAGGATGGCAGTTTTCACAAGACATTTGCAGTACCTAGGAACAGGCCACTAGCTAGTCCTCTGCAGGTAACCATTCTTTGATAAAAATACCCTTTCTATATAAAGATACATATATATATTGCTTTCTCACTGACTGATTTTGAGTATGGAAGAATGAAACGTTGAGATGAACGTGGTTGAGGGTCTCACTTTACCTGTGGAGCATGAGGACACAGAGGCTGCAGCTGTGTCGGGAAGCTGAACAGGGCAAAGCCCTGTGCGTGGGGCTTCATAACTCATCTGATTCCAGTGTTAAACTGGTAGGATGGAGAATTAACGTGGGCCAGAACCTTTTTCCCATAGGGTTCTTGTAGGCAGCTTTGCTGCTTTGGAGAGCCGGGGAGTTGAGTGGTGTGTGGTGGTGGCCAGAACTTGTTGCAGGCCTCAGGAGGGAGAGCAGAGACCCTGGCACTGCCCCGCTGGCCACCACAGATGTGGTCACTAGTCCCCATCTGGCCAAGCACCAAGAGTGGCCTTTCCCTGAGCGCTGGCTGAGGTGGCACCAGAGATGTGGTTGTAAACGGTGGTCTGAAGGGGCCTGGTAACACTTATGGTTGGTTGTACATCTTGGGATTTCTGAACTGACTTAAAACGTGCGACTGTTTTAATGTCAGCCGGATGTGAGGCCAGGTTTTACGTATTTGTGCTTTTTCCAAGCGTTAACAAACGTATACATTTGCTGTACTTTAAAATATAGCTGCTACGCATGGCCTGTTGCAAAGCCCACCAAAGTCATTAGCAGCCTCTTTGTCAACCTTTGTGGACAGAAGTCATTCAGAGAGCGAAACGCGCTGCGGATAATGATCAATTATCCTTCCACCGCAGCCCGTGTTTTTTTGAGGTAGATGAATAAGTGATTTTCTATCCCTTCTCCACACGGGTGAATTGAGGGAAAGTGTCTCATTCCCCAGGGTGAGTCACTGTCAGAAAGGAAATTATAACTCCGTAGTTCCTGACTTTCAGACAGATAGTCCACATGGCTAATCCTTTCTTTCCTCCCTCTTTCCAAAATCTACATTAGGGGTTTATTTCCAGTAGGAGGGAATGAAGAAAAACCTGGTTTTGATTAAGCGTCTCTAGCCGGGCGTTATAAAGTGAGATATTAAAATTTTGGCACCGTTTGCCATGGGGTGGGTTTGTGTTTTGCACTGCGGGACCAGTGGATGAGAAGCCGCCTGGGGAGCGGGGACTGTGTCCCCCCTTCTGCATGGGGGTGTCCGTAGGGACCAAAAACTCACACTCCCTGGTTGCTTATTTACTCTTTTTGCATGAATCGTGTTTTTTACCGCACCGTGGTGGATGGCTGAGAGGAGGGTTTGAAGATCCATGGCCCTGGAGTTAGGGTAGTTGTTTCGGGACTGAGTCCAGACCATCTCACGGCAAAGGAGCCCAGGGCTCCAGCTTTGCAGGAGGTCACTGGAGCTCCCCAGCTGATGTGTGGATGGAGGTTGCTGGTCCCACTGTCTTGCCAGCCCAGCCCAGCTCCGGGCTCCCCCATAGGGTTAGGACAACATTTTCAGGGAGCTAAACAGAGTATGTTGTGCGTTAGAATCACAGAATGGTTAGAGTTGGAAGGGACCTTAAAGATCATCCAGTTCCAACCCCCTGCCATGGGCAGGGACACCTCCCACCAGACCAGGTTGCTCCAAGCCCCATCCAGCCTGGCCTTGAACCCCTCCAGGGATGGGACAGCCCCAGCTTCTCTGGGTTGTCCTGTCAGTGGTGGTTCCCTGCACTCTGCCTGTAATAAAAACAAGGCATTCGAGGTGCCTGTAAAATAGGATCTTTTGATCTTCGGCGTAACAGTGTTATGTTTCCTGCTATCTAAAAATAATTTCTTTACAAGCTGCTGTAAATGAAAGGGCTTGTTTAACCTTCTCTCCTCACTCAATGCTGATTTTGTTCAGGAAGTTTACACGAGTCAATTTGTGGGCTGTTCTGGATCCCGTTCTCCAGTCCTTGGTCAGGAAAAGCCTTTAATTTTGCATGTTAAAAGTCAGGTATTCCCATTGTTTGGATAAAGAGGACTTTCCCTTCAGTAGGAACTGAGTAAAAAATTACTTCCTAACTCACCCCAGTGTTTAAAACACGCTGAGCTGAAGGAAGAAGCCAGACATTGATAAGGACACAGCGTGTCTAAAGGGTGCAAAGCAATTGAACACGTTAGAGATGGCGCATGGTTTTGGCTGGTGGCACTTTGTACATGCCCAGTTTTTAGCATGTCCTTTTGCTTCCAAGTTTATAATTTGGTGTATTGCCCACATACGTGTACACACACACACAGTTGCACACACAAACGCTGGATTAAATCCACCGATGCTGGACAGGCAGAGGGGAAACAACCAGGAACGCAGCTGGGTGCAATTTAATTGTGTCTGCCGGTGTTTGCCTTGCTGCTGGTTAATCTTTTGGGCCTGACCCAAGTGTTGTTACTTAGGCAAATTCTCGTCGGCTTCAGGTAAGAATTATTGCCCTCTCTGCACCTCAGGATGTGTGCGTGGAGAGGGAAGAGGGAAAGGAAGAGACACAGCACTAAACTATCTTTTTTTCCCAATATGCTTGATTCCTAAAATTCCATTTTTTTTTTTAAATTTGAACTCGCCTCGGAGGGAGGTAGCACAGTCACCAGCCCACAGTGTTTTTCATTGCTTTATTAATTTGCACTGCATTTACATAAAGAAAAAGATAATTTGACTTGCAATAGGCTCACCAAAGTGCCCGATTGCTGACTGTTTTGCTGTTAAATTCCAAAAAAGGCAAGAGTAACCAATGTTCAAAGCAGTCCCTAAGGGTATTTTTTTACTGCATTTTGGACACACGACTGATTATCTGCAACTTGGTAAATAATATCTGATGTCCATATCAGATAGCATGGTGTGATTCATCAGGAATGATGAGGAGCAGCATGTTGCATCATTAGGCATGTGAGGTCAGGCAGCTGCCCATAACGACACTGGGAACGTGATGGGATCGCTGCTGGACCAGAGCAGTGGGAGAAAAAGTCCCCCCAGACCCAAGAAGAGTTTGACCGAGAAGAGCCTCTGTAAAATAGAATCACAGAATCTTCATGGTTGAAAGGGACCCTTGAGATCATTGAGTCCAACCACAAAAAAACTAAAAAAACCAAACCAAAACAAAACAAAAAAACCCAACAAAACAAAAACCCCCACAAATAGACACAACCCAACAATCCCAGGCACCAGAGCATGCCCTGAAGAGCCCTGTCTACACATTTCTTAAATACCTCCAGGGATGGTGACTCCACCACCTCCCTGGGCAGGCTGTTCCAGTGCCTGACCACCCTCTCAGTAAAGTAATTCTTCCCAATATCTAAACCTCCCCTGCCGCAACTTGAGACCATTTCCTCTGGTCCTGTCATTCCCTCCGGAGAAGAGGCCAACCCCCACCACTCTACACCCTCCTTTCAGGCAGTTGTAGAGGGCAATGAGGTCTCTCCTCAGCCTCCTCTTCTCCAAACAACATGCCCAGTTCCCTCAGCCTCTCCTCATATGACTTGTTCTCTAGACCCCTCACCAGTTTGGTGGCTCAACGTTGAATGTGAAGGCCACTGTGTGTAGGATCTTTCCATAAGGTATGAAGGTTCAGTCACCTTTTTTATCCCACACAGCAAATCTCCTCCTTCCTGGCAGGAACAGGAGTTGTCTCACCAAACCCATGTGCATTGCCCTGGGGTGGAATTACTCTTACACTCTATCACAGGGATCCCAAATACTTCTACTTTATATTGGTGGAGTTAGTTACAACCTGTATTTTTGCAACCTGTGTTTTTGTCACTCAGACAATAGTTAAGTTTCACTGTTGGGAGATTTTGGCCTCACTAGGAACTTTTCCAAGGGTTAAGATTTTGGGATAAGGTCCGAAGCCCTTACTGAAGCAGGATGATGATTTGTACCAAGCATTTGCTTGAATAGGGCCTCGTAAGAGGTTGCGTAAAAACTCTGCTCCTGGCTGTTCCTGTGTAGAAGTTATGTTTTATTTCACATTATGTTCCCTAGCCAATGAAACAAGTAGCAGTACATAATGCAAACTATCCTAGCACAGACATTTTAACAGACAGAAAAGTAGGCTAAATCATAGACCATCCACCTAACCCTGCAGGCGATCAAAAGACACCATGAAATGGAACCTTTTAAGAAAATAGCGCTGCTTTGATATCTCCTTCCCCCAGTAACAAAGGAAACAACACAAGGTAGAAGCCCTGCAAGCTAAAGAGAATGTTCTTCAACCCCGAGCTCCTGTCACTTTCCATTTTTTAACCACAGACTGACACGTTTCAGCTCGAATTTCCTGACTTTCAGCGGTTTGTGTAACCATTTTCTTTAAAGAGTAAGTTTAAAGGATTTTAAGCCAGCTACTTGGTTAACCTTTACAAGAGCGTGAGCTGTCATTAAGCTTAATTTTCTCCCTTTAAAAAGTGAAATGTGGGATCTCCTTTGCAGCTGGTTGTCAGAGAGAAGGCACAGGCGAGGCAGCCTGCTCTCCAGCAGCAGCAGGCTTACTCTGGTTTTCCTCCGTGGCTTTTTTGGGGGGGCAAGAAGATCTCAAAGTCTTATACTCTTCTGGTTTTTAGTGAAGGTTTAAGGTTTAAGGTTTGCACAGCAAGGAAAGGTGGCCCTGCTGGTGTCACAGAATCACAAGGGATTGGAAGGCAGGTCCATCTAGAGCAGGTTGCACGGGAACATGTCCAGGTGGGTTTGGAATGTCTCCAGAGATGGAGACTCCACCACCTCTCTGGGCAGCCTCTTCCAGGGCTCTGCCACCCTCAAAGGAAAGAAGTTCCTCCTCATGTTTAGGTGGAACTTCTTATATTCAGGTTTGTGCCTGTTTCCTCTTGTCCTGTCCCTGGGCACCACTGACAAAAGACTGGCCCCATCCTCCTGACACCCACCCTTGAAGTATTTATAGGCAAAAAAACCATGGAATGCTTCACAAATTTGCATGTCCCTTACATGTGTTGTCCCTCCTCTGGCCGCTGGCAGACATGTCCAGGAGCTGTGCTTGGCATG